CACCACATGCTCTAATTATTTTCATCTGTTCTTGTTAGAGTTTGGCTGTTGGGCATGCAGAAACTGAGGGTATCTCTCGTATAACAACTGTTGTGCCTGGTACAGATAAATCAATTGCCAAGTTGGTGCAGCAGCTTTATAAGCTAGTGGAGATTCATGAGGTGAGAACCCCATGATTAAGAGTGATGGATCTTTTTAGAGAAGTAAATAATGCTTACAGAGTTCAGTTTCCATCATTTGACATTCTTATGTTTGAAAGAACACAATAATATATGGCTCATGAATGCATAGCCTGAACCTCAGAAAAACCTGAAAGAAGCACTTCTTTGAACTTTATGCTCTTATATTTTGTTCTTGAATCACATTATGGCCAATCAAATCATTTTGTTAGCCATTTCCTCTGGATTTGTGGACCACCCTGCTTCGTGAGTTCAGATTAATGTGTCTGGGTTTTAGTAACTTGTATGCTGAGTTCCATAGGCAATTGATAGTTGCTGACTCTTTCAGGTAAGGGATCTTACCCTTGTGCCATTTGCTGAAAGGGAATTGATGTTAATAAAGATTGCTGTGAACACTACTGCTCGACGAGATGTTCTTGACATTGCCAGCATTTTTAGGGCCAAATCTGTTGATGTATCTGACCATACAGTAACCCTTGAGGTGAGTAACCTTCCTGTATTTGATAGATGATGATAGACCATACGCCTCACTTTCAACTGCAATGGTTCTATGGCTCCTGGTGTTGTTTAAGGACTTATCGCACTGCTTTCTTCGGTTTGTTTCAATTCCTAAACTGTTGATGCTGATGAATTTGCTTTTAATACTTGCTCCAGCTCACAGGAGATTTGGACAAGATGGTTGCACTGCAAAGGTTGTTGGAACCCTACGGCATTTGTGAGGTTGGTTTGACAAACATTAAATCTGATCTTGGATTGGGATTTTAGGTGCATGGTGTGATTTATTTATTCGAAGTCCAACACTATAGTATCCCAAAATGAGGTCCCACCAAATCATCAAGACAACTTTTGTCTGCAGTTTGTTTTCTCATGATTTTAATTATATCTTTCATGACCTCGTAATACTTTCCCTGACATTTCCTGCTCTTATTCTGTAGGTAGCAAGAACTGGGCGAATAGCATTGACGCGTGAATCGGGCGTGGATTCGAAATACCTTCGTGGATATTCTTTTCCTGTGTAAACTGAAAACTTGGGAGAGGCTTCTTGCAGTGATAGGGAGATTCCAGTTAGTTTTATATTTGGGCCTTGTTGGCATGTCAATTTTGTAGATATTTATGGTGAAAGGAAAGGTAAATTGAATCATAGGTTTTCTTTCCCTTTTTTGGGGAAGTTTAGCCATAAGGTACTAGTATGCAGCTTGTCAATTTTGTTGGCTTTGTTTGTTACCTTAAACTAAGTTTCAAAAGTTGGTTTGGCTTGGCAATGAAACATGTTCTGGTTCAAGTTAGTATCCAAATCATGGCAGGAAATAGACTGCAAGCCTCACAATGTTAACACAAAGCTGAACCCTTTATTTCTCGAAGGATGTACCGACAATTGACAAACAATGTACAAACAAGGAAAGCTAGAACAACTTTCATCATCACAGTGCTTGTCCGTGCAAAGCTAGGAAAGCTCAAAGGATGTAAGGACTTAGGAAAGCTTAAAAACAGTGGTTAATGTTATCACTCACGAGCAACAACTACCAACTTCTTTCCAACATTTTGGCCAGTGAATAAGCTTAGCAGAGATGCTGGACCACTCTCCAGCCCTTCAGCTAAATCTTCTACATATACTATCTTTCCTTGTTTGAGGTAAGGTAAAACCATTTCCAGAAACTTAGGATAGAGGTGATAATAGCTACCAGCTAGGAATCCTTGCATTCGAATTTGTTTGGTCACAATATTGGACAAGTTATGGACGCCTTCATGCTTTTCCAGATTGTACTGAGAGATCATTCCACACGCAGCAATGCGACCATGGTTCCTCATGTTGGCTAACACTGCATCAAGCATTTTACCCCCAACATTCTCAAAGTAAATATCGATGCCTTCAGGGAAATACCTGCCAAGTCAATGCAAAATCAGTATTCTTCTACCGAATTATGCCGATTAGTCACGGCTTATCAGAGACCTTCACCGCAAACTCTGCAGTAATCTTGCAGAAAGTACAATTTGCAGGCTTTGTAGTGGTGCTTACTGCTTAGTATTTATTACTACTACTGACCTTTTAAGAGCTGCAGTTAAGTCTGGCTCTTCCTTATAGTTGAAAGCCTCGTCAAATCCAAACTTGTTCTTGAGCAGATCAACCTTGAATTGAACAAAAAAAGGAAAAAAAGAAAACACGTATAAAGAGAAACATCAGCAAGCACATCGGTGGTGACTTTGATCACAAGCATAAGTTAGCATTTTCTAAGACTTGCTAATTCTTAGAAATATCTGCAGTTCTAGGAGATACAGACACAACAGATACATCACAATCGAACGTGTGTTAGGGTAAAGGTACTTTTGAATTAGGCTCACCTTCTCTTTAGATCCAGCACTGCCCACAACATAGCAACCTGACAATTTTGCAAATTGCCCAACAATCTGGCCAACAGCTCCTGAAGCTGCAGATATGTAAACATACTCTCCTTTCTTGGGAGAACATACTTCATAAAAACCAGCATAAGCAGTCATTCCAGGCATACCTAATAAGAACAAATCAATAACAATTTCCATATAAGCTTTGACCATATGAATCAAAACATACCGATCTCTCTAGTTTTTCAATGAACATACTATGATTGTCCTGAAATCTGTCAACACTGCACATTCTGTTCAGAACTGATTCGTTCGCGGCAGATTACCTTAAGCTTTGAGACTGACTTGTTGTTTAACACAAACACAAGTCATGATTTCATTTCTTTAAAATCTTTAGCTTTTTGAGCAATAGAGATAAAATTTTGAGTTTGATGAATTCAAAACAAACTGACCTAGAATTCCTGTATAGTATGACAGGGGCATGTCAGTGTGCTCGATTTTGATCAAAATCTGTGGTGATACTATGAGGCTATACTCTTCCCAACCAGTAAAACCCCAAGCCAAGTCGCCTTTCTTGTACTTTGGATTTGTAGAATCCAAAATTTTAGCCACTCCATACCCAGTTAGTGGCTGTATACATATAATTTGCACATCAGATCACCAAATCCAATTGAAAATAAGCAAAAGCAGAAAAACAAAAGAAATCATCGTCTTTGTGACAGAAAGAACAAGAAAGTTCTAAGAAAAATTCAATATTGTCCACCAATTCCCATCTCAAAGACCAGTTTTAGACAGTTCAACATCTAAATTCTTGTTCTTTTCTCCAAAACCTCGCATGGGCAACAACAATTACACCAAGAAATCTCAAAACCTTCCATAAAAACCACAAAAAGAAAAAAAAATGAAGATGAAACAGCTAACCTTTCCAAGTTCAAAAGAGGAAAGACCACCATCATCAGCTGTCATGCGGCCACGCATATAGGGATCGCAAGACAGGTAAAGATTCTTGACAAGAACTGCATCCTTAGTCCCTTCTGGTACTCTAAGCTTTATCGTACTAGTTGTAATAATTTGCAAATCAGACTCCTTTGGAAACCCTGTGACATAGTTTTTCAATACCACTTGCTTGTTGCTCACTTCCTGATCAGACATTCTTAATTTTTTGTTCTTGCTTCCGTCTTGTCTTAAAGAAAATGAGCAGGACGAGCTAGCAATATGAAGTGTGAACCAAACCCGCCAGCTAGTCAAATTGTACAGAAATATCCCTGTGATCCATGCTGTTCATATATGGGAATTTCCTACAGGTGCCATCGCGTGGAATTAATGTGAAATTTCTAGCTTGATTGTTGGATTATTGTTTATGTTTTATATTTTTCTACAAAATTTATCAAAGTATTCAATAAAAATTAAATTTAAGAAAATATTAAGCAATTAACGGGTATATTTGAAGGATTTTTTTTTTTTTTTTTACCGAAGATGTTCTTCCATATATATTATATATTATAAATTAGCCCTTCTACGTTTTAGTTTCAAAAACTAATTAATTAATATTTATATTTCTAAATCTACTAATAACTTTTTTAATTTATTTTTATTTTTTATTTTTCATTAGTATTTAATATAATTTTAAATTGGTTAATGAAATTAAATAATTTAATTATGAATTAAAAAAATCAAGAGCTAAATCAAAATTAAAAAAAAAAAACCTTTTTAACTGTTGACCAGAGGTCATATGATCAGTTATGATCATCAAGGAATTTTTGAGCTAAGCAGTAGTACTGTTGTTGAATTGTGTCCACTGCACACTATCAATTAGGATCTTAGCATCTCCCTCATTAATCAGAAGCTTCAAGGAGAGTTGCTTTGCCAGGTCTAGGGCTTCCATCGTTGAAGGATTCAGTGCATTGGAAAACAGTCTGTCTCCAAGAACATCAGGGCAATAAATTAGTTCATCTAATTTCAAAAAATAAATTAACTAATCCTTTTTATTTTAAAAATTATTATTTAATCATTTAATTAGTATTGATCATGTTTAATTTAATATTATTTTTATTTCATAAAATCTCTTATTTTCTCATCAAGCTTTCCATAATTTTTTTATTTAAAAAAAACAAAAAAAAAATAAATTACAAATAATTTCAAAACATAAAAATTAAATAATTAATTTTTAAAACCAAAGAGATTGATTAATTCATTTCTCAAAACGAGGGATTAATTAATTTATAATTTACTCTAGAGCTTCAAGCATACAAGAATCCCAACTTTGAAAAAGTAGTCATTCTAAAGCTATTCTTTCCATCGATTGATGTCCTTAGATGCTCATACATAAAATATAAAATCCACACAATATTGCCAAACAAATAGAACTAAATTTATTGCAACTGAAAAAAAAATTACAAAAATCGATCTGTAGCTTGGACAAGAAGATGAATCAATTTTTTTTCCTTTCGAATGTCTTCATCGATCTCATGTTTAAACCTTTCAGTTGTCTTGCGCCACCGTATCTTTGAGCGAAACAAAGCTCGGTTTGTGAACAAACCATCTGTATTCGTATTTTATAACTGTATCATAGCCATTTGCCCCGTCGATTAGTGTAGCGCTGTTCTGAAATGGATTCCCACGATCGGTCAGCCTTGTAAACTTTTCCTTATCAGGATTATACGAATACAAGTCCTGACATCTCAATAACACTATATCCCCATTCTTTAAGAAGATAAAGGGTTCAAGTACAGCATATCTTTCTTTAATGAAAAGTATTTTAGTCCATGATTCTGCAACTCCATATTCTTTCATCTGCCATACCTCCAGGAAAGTTCTACTCGCCCAGACAAGGAGGGTGTCTTTGTAAGTGCATGCACCTATCATACCGGCATTTTCAAACTCTTCTCGAAAAGGAGGAGGCGCTGCCATTTGTCTAAATTTCTCAGTATCCAAATCGAAAACCCAAATTTCAATACTTTGCAATTCTGTTCTTTTGACAAGCCAATGAAGAGATCCATTGGCAAATACTACGCTTTTAAAGCGTAAGTCGTGATTGTTTTGTGTAAAATAATCATGTAGTTGGAGGGGAGCCTCGATGCTTCTCCAGGAGATAGTGCCGATTGTGCATACTTCAGCTTGACAATCTTGTCCTTCGGAGGAAACTCTAACAGCCTTGAATTGGTTAGTCTTGGGACTAAACCCTAATCCGCATAAATACCAGTTTAAACACCTTCCCTTATTTAATGGAGGAAGATGCATCGATTCACCTGTAACAGGATTTGCTATGCTTATGAAAACAGCATTAGGAAAGATATGGTATGAAGGAACTGCCAGCACACAAACCAAGCCATTGCATGAGTTGATGAACCGGAATTGGAACGACGAGTCTGAACTTTTTGGGACAATATTGCAGTTTCCTTCTAAATTGATGAAGCTAGGTTTCTCTTTAAATTCAAACCAACGGATGTTTCTCTTGTACTCTTCTTTGCTTGGATATCTGTTGAATTTCTTTATCTCCTCCACACAAAATACCGTGTCAGTGAGTTGATGTTGAAGTTTGCTAAAGTGAGGGCTTCCAAGAATATGTTTCCATGATTTGCAGACGAATCTGCATTGAATAAGATTTGTGATTGGGAGTTTGCAGAAGATCTCTTCTAAGATGTTGTTTGGGAGGTTTGATATGAAACAACTCATTGTTTTGATCAGTTTCCGAGAGACTGAAAGCCGCTGCTAACCTCCTGATAAAAGAATGAAAAAAACCCTAAAATTTTGATTTTGACTTCTAATACAAGTCCAGTTGTATAGTAACACACAATTGCTTGAACCGTAGACAACTAGAGTTGTAGAAAAATAGTCTCTCTAACAAGAAAGTTAAAAAGATTAGAGCTAGACAAGAAATTCCTTTTGTCTGTTAATACTATCCTTAACTAGGCTATCGTCTACAAAATTTTTTACTCTATTAACTCTGGCAAAACAAACACATAGCAGCTACGTATAAAAACAACATTTCTTACTTTATTCACTCTGCCAAAAAAAAAAAACACACACACACATATATATATATATCAACTATAATATTAATATTTCTTACTCTATTTACTCTAACAAAACAAACAAATTTCAATTATTAACAGAAAAAGTAATACTATTGAAATCACAACATAACTTTTAATACTTGTCATATGAACTATTGTGAATGCAAGTAAAAACATTTGAAAAGTTTAATTCAACAATCTTAGTTATATTGGAAATTCCCCTAGTTAAAATAAAGGACTTGATGAAAATTGCCTATAGTTACTCTTCAAGCCAAGCAACCACCAAAAAACAACAAAAACAGAATTAGCAAGTTTTTGTGCTCTTCAAAGCTTTACCGACTCCCAAATCCAACAAAAAGGCCATTGGTTCATTACCACTATCCGACGTTGGATAAGACTCTTAAAAAATTTAAAATTTGCATCGTATTTATTATTTAGTTTGAAAATGCGAGTTATTTTTGAGTTCAAAGTCGTCATCTAGCGTTGAAGAAACCAAAAACCTAAAAAATAACATTGATCTAGAAATTATAGGATAAGGAGTTTATTTTGAGCGGATATCGATAAGCACTATTTCATGATACGGATACTACGTCTAGTTTAGTCCTAAAATTCATCTCTCAAGATAGTTTTTTTCCTTTTGTCAAATTATTTCCAATTTAAAATTTAATTAAGTTTTTTATTTTTGATCATAGCATCGTATTGAACCAATCATCGGACCCTTTCATCGGAAGACATGTCGGTTTAATATCAAATCCATTTTAAATCTCAACACAACCGAGTGTGTTAGAAAATGTCTTGATTATATATATATATATATATATATATATTACTAATACGTCCCATCGGATATGAGACTTTGTTAAGAATCTTAATTTTTTTAATTTTTTTTGTTAACAATAATCACTATCGGATAAAAGACTTTATTAAAAATTTTAATTAATTAATTTTTTTATTTTGTGTTAACAATAGTTCTTATCAAATAAGAGATTTTTTTTGGTGTTTTTTCTATTTTTTTCTTTGCTTTCCTTTTCTCTCTTTATCCTAACATTTTCTTTTTTGTTTTCTCTCTTTTGTTTTGTTTTTTTTTTCCTATCCGTCGGTAAAAAATCATCATCGATCCCTAAAGATTAAAAGATTCGATAATTCATTCCCTATTAATTACTTAACCTAATTACTGAAATAAAAATCAAAACTACATTAATTCAATAAATTACGAAATTTTGGATATTAAAGTCTAAACTGAATATAAAATAAAAAATATGCATAAAAACAAACTCAAAGTTAAAATCACATGAATTAAATAAATTTAAAAAATTTCAAACATTGAGATCTAAATTAAATATAAAATGACAAACATGTATAAAATAAATTTAGAATTAAATGAAATAGAACTATCACTTTTTTTATTATTATTTTTTATCCGGTCTTCTCTCTTCTCGTCTCTTTTTGTCTTTCTTTTTTAATTTTTAATTTTTTTGGGCTAGATTCGAATCGGTCCAACCCAATTTTCCTTTCTTTCTTGTTTTTTCTTCTTTTTTTTTTCTTGCTTGTCCAATGTAGCGCCATTTTCCTTCCTTTCTTCTCTTCTCCTTTTTTTCGAGTTGGGCTAGAATCGAGTCCGACCTAGTAGCACACGAGTTGGGCTTAGCCCAACCCAAACCCTTTTTAGTTGGATCTAGCCCAAAAACACATTTCACTTCTTCTTTTTTAATTTTTCGAATCAAACCCCTCATTTTCTTGTTTTTCTTCTTTCTCTCATTCGATTCCAAAGCTGGTTCGTCCTTCATTTCTTCTTCTACTCCTTTTCCTTTTTCTTTTTTTCTCTCTCTCTCTCTCTACTCGATCCATGTAAGAACGTACCGGAGATTTCGGTTCGTTCTCTCCCTCCCTATCTCTCTCAATCTTTCTTCCCTCTCACTTTCTCTATTAGTTGCTCTCTAAATTGAAAACCCTAATTCCATTTTTTCTACTTGAAAAGTTCCCCAATTTGGTCGAAACCCTAAGTTTCAATTTTTTTGATTTTTTCTATCAATTGGTTTTAATTGGCTTGATTTCTCTTGAGATCAAGCCAATTCCCAACTAATTAAGTCATTTTCTTCAAAAACCCCTAATTTTATTATTGTAAAAACAAATCTAGAAACTCGTAAGTTTCAATTGAAATCAATTCAGCCTTCAATTTGGGGTTTAAACCTTAAATTGAAACTCAAATTAACTTCAACTGGATTTAATTTCTATTCCCTAACATCAATTTCAAATAAAAAACAAAAACCCCAAATTTGAAACCCTAACTTTCTAAAAACCTAAATTTCCCAAAAAAATATTCAATTTTGAAATTCAAACAATCTTTTCTATTCAATTTCAAAAAATAAATACATTTGTGTGTGAGTGGAGGGGGAGTTCGGGATGGCAATGATTAAAATCACTGCCATCAACCCTAAAAAAAAATTACATTGAAAAGGATAAAAAAGGATGGATTTCCTCAATGAATTTAGGTTTTGGATGATGATGGAGAAGTGTTGCTCGCTTTAACAATTAAGTAAAAATTCTTCTTTTTTTCGTTCCTTTTTTTAATTTTAATTTTCAAAACTAATTCCCTTCTTTTTTGTTTTCTATTGCCTTTTTTTTTGTTTTAATTTTTGATGAATTGATTTTTTTTCTCCAGAGACTAATCCCCCTCCTCTTTTGTGTTTTTGTTGTTCTTTATATTGACAGGAGGTATGGTGGACTATTTAGATAGCTCGAGTGGAGGCCTACAAAGTTTTTTTTTGTAATTTGTTTTTTGTATTTTTCTGGTATTGAATTCTAATATTAATAAAGAACTTTTTTTCCCTAATTTCTTAGCTAATTTAATTTTTTTTCAGAATAAAAAAAACATGAATTAAAATAAATAAACACAAAAATAAAAGAAAATAGAATATCAAAGAAAAGACTGAAATAAATGAAAAATAACTAAAAAATGAAAAAAACTTGGGGTATGACCTCCATTATGAAAGCCTAAAAAGTCTTTCTGAACAAGACTATTTTTCTATGCAAATGCAAAAGAACCATCTCTGCACTTTGCTCTTATAGAAGCGCTATTATGTGCATTGTTAGACACCGATTTAGGAAAAACTGTTATGCTAAAGCTATTATTTCGATCGATTGATGCCTTTATCCTCATACATAAAATATAAAATCCCTTGAATGATATTCATTTGATTCTCACATACTACAAATGGATGGATGCTAAGCAACATTGCAAAACAAGCAGAGCTATTTTTACTGCAACAGAAAAAAAAAGTGATTAAAATCTATAGTTTGGAAGGTCTTCATCTCATGTTTAAACCTCAGTTGTCTTGTGACACCATATTTTTGAGAGAAACAAAGCTCGGTTTGTGAACAAACCATCTATTTTCGTATTTTATAACTGCATCATAACCATTTGCCCCTTCGACTATTGAAGTCTTGATTCTTATAGTCTTCTTTTCGAATGGATTCTCAGGACTGTCCAGCCTCGTAAACATTTCCTTTTCAGGATCATACAACCACAAGCCCTGCCATCCGAATACCACAATATCCCCATTCTTTAAGGAGACAAAGGGTTCCAAACTAGCAAATCTTTCTTTAATGACAAGTACTTTAGCCCAAGATTCTGGAACACCATATTCTTTCATCTGCCATATCTCCAGGAAATTTCTACTCTCCCATACACAGAGGGTGTCTTTGTAAGTGCATGTACCTACTCTGTATCGATTTTCAAACCCTTGTTGAAGAGGTGGAGGCCCTGCCATTTGTCTAAATTGCTCAGCATCGAAATCGAAAACACAAAATTCAATACTGTGCAATTCTATTCTTTTGATAAGCCAATGAAGAGATCCATTAGCAAAGACTACGCTTTTAACACGTAACTCCCGATTTTCTTCTGTGAAATAATCATATCGCGGGAGGGTAACCTCAATACTTCTCCAGTAGCTAGCGCCAATTGTGCATACTTCAGCTTGAAAATCTAGTCCGTCAGGGAAAATTCTAACAGCCTTGAATCGGTTAGTCTTGGGGCTAAACCCTAATCCGCATAAATACGAGTATAAATTCCGTCCCATACTTAATGGAGGAAGATGCATGGATTCACCTGTAACAGGATTTGCTATACTCATAAAAGCAACCCCAGGAAAAATATGAGGTGAAGGAAGTACGAGTAGACAAACCAAGCCATTGCATGAGTTGATGAACCGGGATCGGAACGAGTCTGAACTATTTGGGACAATATTGCAGTTAGCAGATTTCCCTTTAAATTCAAGCCAATGGATGTTTCTCGTGTACTCTTCTCTGCTTCCGTACCTGTTGGATTTACAGATCTCTTGCACGCAAAGTACCGTGTCACTGAGTTGTTGTTGAAGTTTGGTAAAGTTAGGGTTTCCAAGAACAAGCTTCCATGATTTGCAGACGAATCTGCATTGAATAAGAGTTGTGATGGGGAGTTTGCAGAAGATCTCTTCTAAGATGTTGTTTGGGAGGTTTGATATGTAACAACTCATTGTTTTGATCAATTTCACGGTGACTGATGCTAATCTATCTATAAAAGAACGAAAAAAAGAAAACCCTAAAAAATTGATTTTGACTTCAAATAGAAGTCTAGTTGTCTACGGTTCAAGCAATTAATTAAATAATACTAGTTGGCTT